TTTACTTCCCCTTGTTGACAGTGAGGACACAGTCAATTTTAAGTTTGGGGGTGAGGATTGAAATTTTTGGATAATAGGAATTTTGTGTGGATATCAGGACAAAAGTTTTGTGGATAACAGGATTAAATTTGAAAATTTTGTGGATAACAGGGTTATATTTGAAAATTTTTGAAAGGTCATTTTGTTGAGAAAATTTGAAACAGCTGAAACAGTAGAAATTTTGTCAGCTTAAATTTTTGCTCGGTTGATTTTATGAAATATAAGCTGAAGTGGCAAGTGGTAGTTGAGGATGTATGAATGGTCCAATGATTGAACAAAATGCTTGGTTACTATGTTTAGGAAGTTTTGAATTGCTCTTCGATACTTGATTTGTGAGGTTAAAACCTATGTTTCTTTAATTTTGGAGAAGCTAATGCACAAAAAGGGTCAAGACATTTCAAGGGGTTATGTTGAGGTTGAGTGGATATTCATTTCAAGGGGTTATGTTGAGGTTGAGTGGATAATTTAGCCTATATACTTTTGTTTCAACTAAATTGTTTCATAACCTTCTTCTGATTTCTCAAAGTTTATAGTTTGTTCTATATGAATTTGAAAAAGGATTAGGGCAGTTCTTAAATGCGTTTGAGCCTTTCAAGCTGACTTTATAGGTTTTATCCTTTGAACCCATGCTTTGAGCTTTAAAAAAAATATATATATGTTCAAGTTTTGTTTCAAACCCTAACCTCTTCCTAACCCAAAACCAATTGAGAAAAACCATGAAATCCCTAGCTTTGAGATAAATGGAAGTTGAAAGGATAAGGGGTTTGATGAAATGTGGAGATTTGAAAGGTTGAAAAGGTAGTCAGTTATTCTGACAAGTTAAAGTGTCAGGTGCTAAGTTGTTTTTACTTTGAAAAAAAAAACAAAAAAAAACAAAAAAAAAGTGTATACTTATCTATATACAAATAATTGTGGTACAAGTTTGGGAGAATGAAAGTGGTTGAAGTAAGTTCTGATTGTTGAATATCTATTTATCTCAAAGTATTTGTATGATCTACTTTCCCCTTTCTTTCCTAAGCCATGACCTCTTGGCCACATTATAAGCCGAAAAGTCCCTTTGATTTCAAATGTATATGGGGTGAGTTGTAAACAGAGAGAGAGAAGAAGTTAGGCTTATGAAAAGATACGGTTGAAGGTTAGTATGTTGGCTAAAGTCTCTCATTCCACTGAAACCGTATCTTAAGAGATGCTCATTGACTCTATACACACACTCACACTCCAAAATCATTGAAAGTTTGTTTTAAGTTCATAAAACTTGTTTCTTTAGGTGATTCAGTAATTTCCTATCCTGTATAGTGTCTTGAGCATTTAATGAGGATACAACTGTTCCTACAATCTTCAATGTGCAATTTTGTCACTTAGTCGCTGGTTTGTTGTTTTACTCGAGGACGAGCAAAAGTGTAAGTTTGGGGGTGTGATAACCTCTCAAAATTCCTACTGAATTAAGCTGATTTAACATTCTTTTATTGGGTTTATAAGTCAATTTTGCAGGAAACAAAGCCTGAGGAGAGTAAAGAATGGAGAAAGAGCTGAAAAGAAGCCATCCGCCGCGGCCTATGGAAGAAAACGCCGCGGCGGATCACACAGAAAGGGAGGACTGCGCCTCTGTGAAATCCGCCGCGGTGCCCAAGCTACCTCAGTAGCAACCTGTTCAGTGAAATCCGCCGCGGCGCCTGGCCCTTCGCTGTTGTGCGTTTTACTTCCTAACTTAAAAAATTAGGGCATATAGAGGTGGACACAGGGGTTTTCAGAGAGAGTTCGACTTTTGGAGCAATTTTGGAGGCTGGCTCTGCTAGGGTTTGGAGTTTTGGAGGCTTGGAACCTTTGGGCTTGAAGCTAGAAGAGATTCAAAGCTTGTATCTTGAATTTTTGGGTTTCCTTCTTCTTCCCTTCTTGTTTCTGCTATGACTACTAGATACTCCTATAGTTGTAGTTCTTTACTTGCCATGTATAGCTAAATCCGTTTTTCTAGGGTTATTTTGATCTATTGTATGGATTGAGACTTGGGTTTTACTATCTCTTTAGTGTTAATGATAATATTCAGTTGTTTTTACTTTGAGCTTAATGCTTCCTTTTGTCTGGCCATCATTTGGATTGATTGATTGATTAGTTTAATTTGAGAAAGTTAAACTAATTCGTGAACTTAGGTAAAAACATGCTAGTCCAGAAATTTATTTGAGTGAATAGATGGTTTGTCGATTGATCAGAGATGTATTTGTTGACCTAGCATAGACCAAATGGGTTTTGGTTTTTAAAGAGCAACCTTTTCAAACAAGTGCAAGAGATTGCTGTGTTTTAATGGTGTTTGCAACATTTGGTTTTGACTTGAGAAAGCTTAATCAATTCTATAATCCCAAGCTAACTGAATTTATTGTAAAACACTATTTGAGAAGTAATTAATCCAGTTTCATGAAGTACTTTAGTGAAGAATAACCCTAGTCTATTAATTGTGTCAAGGTCGATTTGATTTTATACTGCTTTAAACCATTGTTTTCTTAACTTTCATTTCACAAACTCTTTTACAACAATTATTTCACTTAACCTAATCAAATACACAATTATGATTTTTCAACTCATCTAGCCTTAGTCTCTAAGGGAACGATACTTTTTATATTACTTGTGACCCGTCCACTTGCGGTCAAGTTATTTGGTGAACAATGGACCCTAAACATCAATATGTAAAAGCTCAAAAACTTGCTTAGTTTTTATATAACTAGTAGTACAAGGGAATTTTGTTTGCTTTGATTAAGCACAAACATCGTAAACTTTATTCATCAAAGAACTTTCCTTCATTACAAAATTCAGATGCTTCGTAACAAAAAAAAAGGGCACGTCCCAATCTTTGGTGCCAAAGACAAACATCAGAACGATCAGCAATTCTATAACCATTTTGGATAATATTAGCAACATAACTAGATCTAGCAATTTTCAAGTAGTATAAACCACTAATCTCTTTACCAATCATCCTCATCTTCCCATCCTAAAGGCCCTGCATTACACAGAGGTTAGGGAAAAAGGAAACAATGCACTTATACTCCCTTGTAAATTTAGAAATCGATATGAGATTGAATTTAAGTAGTAGAGCATGCAAGACATCTGTGATGACTATATCATTAGATATTCTAGCTGTTCCTATACGAGTTATAGGTACACAATTTCTATCAGGTATTTTAATAGATTGAATAAGACCATCATAAACCCTATAGTTCTCAAGTAAGTCTAGGCTTCCTACCATATGTATTGTGGCTCCAGAATCAAGAATCCAATTAACATAAGATACTTTATAAGTATTAGGAATTGCCAAACCTGTATCAGTCAGGGTATGAACCGTGGTCTCTGATTCCTTTTGAAGAAGCTCCAAGATTTTTTGGTATTGCTCTTTGGTAAATCTTGGTGCTACCGTGGTTGCTTTATTGGCATGTGCTTCTGGATCATAAGGTAAATCAGTCACAGCTTGTCCTGGTTCTTTGTTATGTTTGATTCTGTTTCCTTTGAAGTTAGGAGGGTACCCAACTATCTAGTAACAATTCTCCCTCAGGTGTCCTTTCCTTTTGCAGTGAGTACATTCAAGATGCTCTCCCCTCATCCGCGGCCTCTTCCACGACCACGTCCCCTGGCAGTCATTGTGATTCCTTCTCCTGAGGATGGCTTGTCATTATTGGTAATTGATCTCTGAGTCTTATCCTGAATGATCATAGTGTAAGCTTCATTCACTCCTGTAGAGGGTTCATCAGGAGGATCTAGCTTCTTGCGTGATGATATGAGTCATTGAGGCCCATCAAGAACTGAAGAAGCTTCTGTTCTTGGATGATCTGAGTATAAGTCCCTTGGGTCTCGCATGTACAAGAAGGGAGAGTAACTAACGCCAATTGTTCTTCCCAAAGCTCCTTCAACTTTGAGAAATATGCGGCAATTGAGAGGGATCCCTGCCTCAGGGAGGTGATTTCACAATGAAGGGCAAAGATTCAAGCTCCGTTCTTTTTATCAAACCTCTCCTTGAGATCCAGCCATACGTGGTGTCCGTTTTGGAAGAAAATAACTCCATTTACGAGTTCTTTTGAAAGTGAATTGAGGATTCAAGACAAGACCACGACATTGCATCGCTCCCATTGATCGTGCAATGTCTGGTCATGCATTTCCTTCTTGTAGGCTCTAGAGATAAATACCAATTTATTCTTCCTTAAAAGAGCGATCTTCATCACTCGACTCCAAACTGTGTAGTTTTCTGTACCGATAAGAACATGAGAGATAATGGAGGTGCCTTGCGTGTCTGATGGATAAAGGTATAAGGGATGAGTGAAAGGAAGGTTTTCGGCCACAGGTTTCTCATCCGCCATGAAAGGCTATCTCTATTGAAGTGGGAAAAGACTAAATTCTAGGTTTAGGGAAAGAACTGGGCTTACTATCCAAAAAGAGGGAAAACCCTCGGCTCTGGTACCATGTTGAATAATAGGCCTAATATCAATCAACTACACAGAAGGAAACTAAATGGAGAATTCACGTATTATTGGACTGAAAAACACTATACATCTCATGGACCCCCTGTTTATGATTCAAGGATTGATCCCTATTTATACAATAATTAGAAGGAAGTAAAACCAAGAAGGTTAAAGAAGGCAGGTGTCGTATTGAGTAATACGACACACTAATAATTACAAAGGCTTCTATTTTAACGGTATGAAGCTATTTCCTAAAGCATATATGAGAATCACTTTATTCATTTCTCTCTAGTAGCCTTACATCACTTATTTATTGTAAGTGGAGAAAAGAATTTGGTCTTTTACTTTGTTCGATGACAGAAGCATCAAATATTCTTTTACTCTCAAGAAGTATCCAAAACAAGGCTATATATACTTGTATATGCTTCATTGTGGGAGGTACATTATCACATATCATCCAACAATTATCCATATTACTCTCCTCATACAAACCCATCAATTACATTTGCTTTGAATTAATCAATGGAAGCCATTGTTGACAGAGTCAGTGGGCTATTGGGCTTTTTGGCCTCTAAAGAGCTTGATCTCATTAGTGAGTTCCGAGATGATTTGGAGAGCATGAAGAGCATGGTCATTGCAATCAAAGCCGTACTCCTTGATGCCAAGAGAAAGACCATGAAGAGTCATCTAATCAACTATTGGCTATAGAAGCTAAAAGATGTGCTGTTTGATACGGAAGACTTGTTAGATGCCATTGATGAGCCTGCCAGGGAAGCAATGACCAAAGACAAAATGGTGGAGGAGGTACGCTTATTCTTCTCCAAAAACAATCAAACTATTTGTACTGCTAAAATGGGTTGTCAAATTAGGGCCCTTAGGAAGAAACTTGATGGCATTTTCAGTGAGAAGAACAATTTGCATTTGAGTGAGATATCTTTTAGTGCTTCCATTGAGTCTTATGACTAGAGGCAAACCCACTCATTTATGAGGAAGGAAGATGTTGTAGGGAGAGACAATGAAAGGATGCAAATTGTTGACATCCTTTTAAACCCTCTTGATGTGAAAAGTAACGTTTTAGTAGTAGCCATAGTTGGGATTGGTGGATTGGAGAAGACCATACTTGCTCAACAAGTCTATAATGATGAGGCTGTCAAAAACCATTTTGAGCTAAAGAAGTGGGTCTGTGTTTCTGATGAATCGAGTGACTTTAACATTAAGAGAATAGCTAAAAACATCATTGATAATAACAAAACAAATTGTCGAAGGATAAGGTCACACAATATTTAATAAAGGAGATTGAGGGGAAACTTTTTTTGCTTGTTTTAGACGATGTTTAGAATGAGCATTGTGAAAAATGGTTGAATTGGAAAGCTTGTTGAGGGAAGGAAAAAAAGGGAAGCATGATCATTGTGACTACTCGTAGTGAGAAAGTGGCACAAATAATGGGCATGCTTGCACCTCTTAACTTAAATGATTTGGATTTTGAAAACTCTTGGGAGCTGTTTTATAGAGTGGCTTTTCAGGATGGAAAAGAACTTGATAATCAAGAGTTGGTAGGGATTGGAAAGGATATTGTGAAAAAATGTCCTGGAGTTCTACTCGCAATAAGAACCATTGGTAGCCTATTGTTCACAAAAAAAGTTGGGAGTGAGTGAGTGGTCATATTTTAGGGACATTAAACTTGCAAATATCATTCTGAGGATAATAAGATATTTTCTATCCTTAAACTTAGCTATGATCATCTTCCCTCCCATTTGAAAAATTGTTTTGCATTTTGCTCTTTGTTTCCAAAAGATTACGAGATTGAAAGAGAAATACTAATTCGGCTGTGGATAACTGAGGGGTTCGTTCAACCCTTGGATAAAAATAGGTGCTTGGAAGATGTTGGCGATGAGTATTTCAAGCAGTTGTTGTCGAGGTGCTTGTTTCAAGATGTGGTGCAAGATTCTCTTGGCAACATATGGTCGGGTAAGATGCATGACCTCATACATGATCTAGCACAATCAATCACTAAAAATGAGTGTTACATTGTCATAGGTGAAAGAATAGAATAAGAGAAGTTTGGTGATGGGATTTGTCATATGTCAATTCATTTTGATGGTGCCTGGGATATTCCACTTGGCAATGCCAATACCAAAAAAATGAGAATGATTTTCACCCTATAAGGACATTTGGAATTTATCTTGAGTCAATCTTCATCAAGAGGTTTTAATCTAATTAGCGGGTCTATAATATCACTTCTAAAGCACTTACGTGTATTGGTTCTTGTAGAGCAAGGGTTGGAAATTCTAGAGATTATTGGAGACTTGAAGCATTTAAGATATCTTGATTTAACTAGGAATATCGAACTTGAGAAGCTCCCATGAGGAATCACTAAGTTGCATAACTTGTTGACCTTAATACTTAATGGTTGTGTATCTTTAACAGAACTTCCTAGTGACTTGAAGAGATTGGCAAGACTCAGACATCTTGAATTGGATGGTTGTTGGCACTTGCTACATATGCCATGTGGTTTGGGGTGTTTGGCTAATCTCCAAACACTGGCAACATTTATTGTGGATGAAGTGAGTAGTGGTGGTGCAAGGATAATTGAGCTATGCGATTTGATTTGTTTGAGGGGAAATTTGGAGATTACAAATTTGAGATGCCAATGGAGAAAGGTAAAGGAGGTTGAGTCATCAAAGTTTCTGCTTCACATGTCATACCTTAGAGGACTGGCCTTAGGCTGGGGGCATCTTCACATTCACCTCTAGGAGAAGATAAGCATGATGATGATGATGAGATAATTTTAAAAGCTTTAGAGCCACCTCACACAATCAGAGAACTGATTATTTGTGGATTTAGTGGAAAATGGTTGTTAGAGTGGATAGGGAGTCTCACATCATTGCAATCTCTACAAATCCTCAATTGTAGTTCTTTGGCATCACTTCCAGAGTCCATTGGAAGACTCACATCATTGCAACCTCTTGACCTCTATCTTTACACTTCTTTGGCATCACTTCCAGAGTCTATCAGACATCACACATCTATAATTGCACTTCTTTATTATCACTTCCAGAGTCCAACAGAAATCTCACATCATTACAAATGCTATGCCTCTCCAATTGCTCTGCTTTGACATCAGTTCCTGAGTCCATTGGAAGTCTCACATCATTGCAAATGTTAGACCTTAACAATTGCTATGCTTTAACATTGTTGCCTGAGTCCATTGGAAGTATCACATCATTACAAGAGTTACACCTTTCACACTTCTTAGCTTTGGCTTCACTTCTAAAGTCCATTGGAGGTCTCTCATCATTGCAAACATTACACCTATCAGTACGCATCTTTAATCATTCTACTTTGGCATGACTTCTGGAGTCCATTGGAAGTCTATCATCATTGCGAATGCTAACCCTCAACAGCTACTCTGCAAGTATATATTTTGACATCACTTCCATAGTCTATTGGAAGTCTCACATTATTGCAAAAGCTGCTCCCTAATAATTGCTCTGCTTTGGCATCACTTCCAAAGTCCATAGGGAATCTCACATCATTGCAGACACTACATTTCTTCAACTGCTCTGCTTTGACATCACTTCCAAAGTCCATTGGATGTCTTACATCATTGGAAATACTACATTTCATTGATTGCTCTGCTTTGGCATCACTTCCAGAGTCCATTGGAAGTCTCACATCATTGCAAGAGCTAAGTCTCTACAAATGTTCTGCTTTGGCATCACTTCCAGAGACAATAAAGAGTCTCACATCATTGCAACATCTTCGCGTGTGTGATTGCCCTGCTTTAATGAAAGATACGGGTGGCAATTAGAAGGATTGTTTTGGCCAAAACTTGTTCACATACTAGACGTTCTTATTTTGTGAATAATTATTCGCTTTCCTTATCATCCATTTCAACAAAAACAGGGTATTTACGTCAACTCCATTTTTCTCTTTATGGACAGCTTCATCCAACTTTTATTTTCCCCCTCTCCTCACTCTTTCTAAACTATCAGTGCACTTGATTCATGGCACTTGACTATAAACTTTATGTGATTGATTTTTTCAGTACACAAATTCCAAGCATCAGTAGGAAAAATTAATGAAAGCTCATTCAAATTTATCAATTTCTATCCTCTAATTACAGTTGTGAGTTGACTGCTAAAACACTTCAACTCTTTCATTTTTCTTGCTTGGCATTTGCCTAATTTCCTTGTCTGGCCGTCCTCGCATGTGTTTGTACGTGCTGTTATTATGTTACTTGTTCAAGAAAAGATGTTTCTGCTATGCTTCTTGTAACATCTTAAATATTACTTTTTCAAAAAAATTTATTATTATTTCAAAAAAATTTTAAAAAATAATTATATAATGTAAAATAATATTTTATTAAAAAAACACACCCCAGCTTTTTCACCAAATTCGGTGAAAAAGCAAGATGTTATTTAAGAAGAAGAAGAATTCTGGAGAGGACATTTATTGAAGATAGAAATTGAAGGGTGTAGTTATTAAATGGAAGAAGAAAACAGGAAACACACGGTTGAAAAGAAAAAGATAAATAAGAGGAAGGGGTGCTAGGCAGAGAAGAGAAATGAAGAGAAGACAAAGAGAGAGCGAGAGACAGAAGAAAATCGTGAGAGTGAGTGAAAAGTTTTACAAGGTACATGAGGTCTGAAGGATAAGACAAGATTTAGAAGATCATTTAGATACATAAAAATACTTCTTTTTATTAGATTTTTTTATGAATATTTTCTATATATATTTAGAACTTTATATCAGTAGTATCATTTTAATATTTAGAGAAAATTTTGTGATTTGGGTATGGACTAAGTATTGGGTTTTGACAATAGATGACCATAGAAATTTAGAGGTAAATGAGGAGTTAATTTTAATCAGTTTAGATTTGTCTATTTGTTACTTTTGGTATTTAAAATTAAATTTATTTTGTTAAAAAATATATCATTTTATATATATATATCATATTCATACCAATTAAAATTAAGTTAAATAATTTATTTGGGTTGTTTGATATATTATTGAAATTTTGTTCGGTTTATATTTATTCATTGATTGTTTTGAAAATTTTAAACTAAGAATTTAGTTAAAAAAATATATTACTCAAGATATATAGAATGCTTTTACGGATTAAATTTAAGTTAAATAACTTATTTGGATTATTTAATATATTATTGAGATTTTAATTGGTTTAAAATGTGAAATAGGCTAAGGATATGTTATTAGAAAAATTTTAAAACTGAAAACTTAAGTTATAAATTGAGAATTTTACAGTGTTAGATAAAAACAATTTATATATATATATAATTTGAATGAGTTATTTGGGTAGAGAAAAATTGTTATTTGAAGAATTCTTGGGTAGTAAATATATAATAATAATAATAATAATAATAATAATAATAATAATAATAATAATAATAATAATAATCCTGTGTAATTTACATTATTTATTTGTATGTATATTAAATTTTATCTACATTATTTGTAGATTATCTTGTACTTCGGAGTCTATAATTTGTGCTCTTATTTCTCAAGCTATGAGGTTAAGCTTGGAGTGGATATAACTAGGGCTAATTTATTTTATATATATGCTTTGGATTATAAGCTGTTTATTATGTTTTTATTTTCTCAAATTAATTTGTGAAAGTATACCTATGAATAAAGTATGTATTTTCTTATATGACAAATTTTGGTCAAGTGAGAAGTATGTTGATTTAATTATACCTGAGTTGTGTTTTATTGGAAATTATGTTTGCTTGTGGTGTTGAATTTAATATACTAATATTATGTTATTAAATAAAATGAAAATATGTTGTACTTATTTCAAATTATATCATCTTACTTTGAAGAACTATGATATTTTTAATATATATTGTGACTATGTATGGGGTTCATATGTGGAGGTTGGGATTTTGTTATGTGGAGGATAATTGTTCTTGGAGCCCGCACGGCATGTCTACACTACTGATTCTAATATTTGGCCTTTTTGTTAGACCCTTGTAGTTCTTCCTTTTTCTTGGCCTTGAATTTAGAACGATCTCTTGGGTAGACACCTCTTACACCATAGTCTATTCTTGGGCGGTGTAGTTACAAGAGGGGGCCTGTTGCTTATTGTGAGTGGGGTGACTTTTGGCTGGGTTACTCGGCACAAAAAGCTCAAGTCCTTGTCAACGAGTTATAAGGAGGAGTATAGTGATGGGAGGGCATATTTCATTGTGTTGTTGCATATGTGTATTTTTGTATGAATTGTGTTGTAGATGGTGAGATATACTCGTGATTGTATCTATTAAAACATCATTTATTACTTAAATTATATTTAAGCACTACTTCACTAACTTGCCATCTTACTTATATATGTCATAAATTAATACTTGGTTACTGGGACTTTATATCTCACCCTGCTATTCATCAATGCTTTTTAGGAGAGCCATCTAGTTTGGCTCAGCTCGAAAGGAAGCAACCAGAGGCATATGTGAGCATAACCTAGTAGTCCTCATTTGGTTTAGGCATGTAATGTTATGTATATTGTCATTTCATGACCCATGATTTTGTTAACATATACTTTCTTTTGTTAGGTTGTTGGATGATTGTATTTGATGGAGTGCTGCTAAAATGGCTGGAAGCCATGAGACTCTACTGTTTGTGTTACTCTTGTGTGTATAACTTGAGGGCTGGGTTGAGCACTCTGTATTTCTTGTACCCTAAGTCTTTGTGGGATGAATGTTTATGTTGAGTTTGTAGCCCATTACTGTGCCTTGCGTATTGTTAGACTCATGGGTGTTTTATGTATCCTAAGCTTCTTGGAATGTTTTCAGAATAAGACAAACTCTTTATAACCATGGTAGTGTTTTAACACTCTAACTCAATTCTTTTTCTACTATGATTATCATCTTAAAAATGGTTTTATAATTATGTATTAAGAAGAGACCTTTTCACTTCTTATTGGACACCAATTAACCTTACTTTGTTGATAAGTCATTTACGGATTTTTCTTGTGCATTGTATGATCTCTAAAGTTGTGGTTCGAATTGTTTTCAAAAGACTTATACCTACAGTGAATTCTGTACATGTTTCCTTGTGTTTTTGAAATGAATGGACAAAATGTTGAAACTGTGAGATACTCTTCTGGTCTATAATATAAGATCTAATTAACAAATTTAAGTAAATTAATGATGTTAATTAAATTAGTTAATATGATTTTTTCTTCTAAATCACCCTAATAATCTCCCTTAATTCTTTCTATCCTTCTCCTACTTGTCTATTATCAATAACATTAATTTGAAAAAAAAACTGATAAATATGTGAAATAAGTCTTATATATAAGACTAATGTCAACTCTCAAAGTAAGTCTTATATTAAGGATTGGAGGAATGCGATTTTTTTTTATATTTCCTAGCTGTGATGTTGTGAAATTGCATATTATTCGTTAATAATGTGCGTGATGATTTTTATTATTTTTATAGGTTTGAACTGTGCATAGGGAAAATGACGGAAAAAAAATATCTAAGCTAAGCTGGAACAGGTCACTACGGAAGCACTTATAAAGTAAGCAAAAATATTTTTAGTGCACATATGCAGATTTTGATTAAGGAGGAAAGGATGACTTCTTGAAACTTTTCATGAAAGGCGGGTACCACTTATTTTAACTCTGCATATTTTTCAAGTTGTGTGCATGATCAAATTCCACCTTTTTTGCCATAACAAAAGAAGAAAACAGATTGTGCTGAATTAAAAGCTTATTTAATTGTCAAAACTTCCATCA